ATTAGAAGATATTTATTAGAGCACGGATATGTACGATTTTTTTTCGATATTTTTCGATATACGGTATCTTTTGATATTTATCAAAATATAAGACTGACACCTCCGTCCGGAATCGGTATTTATATGTAGTGTGCAAAAGCAACTTTTTTAAACTCTTCTTCAGTTATAACAATTTTCGTACTATTTAAGCCATTTAGAGAAAAATCGGCAATTTCCGATTCCGAGTTTCGAACAGTTCCGATTTCTGACACATTTGTCAGATTGTTTTTCGTACTTTTATGACTTAGTTTTCCAAATAAATTGAAATTTTCTAAAATTCTGTATCTTATATTGAAATTTGATTGTAATTAAAAATACAACCTGAATTTGTTTGTGGATTTTTCTTCTTTATTTTATTAAAATTTGTTTTAATTGCTTTACATTTGACGCCATTTTTCTTATACGAGCTTTTTATGATCTTTTATTTAAAAAAGAATAGAGTTTCTCAATAATATAATATCCTAGGATAAAATCTGGAATTCTTATTATTAGGTCGATCTATTTTAGCAACCCTACATAATAATAAACAAACATATACTCTTAAATACATACCGAAATAATTTTCTGTAAAAGAAAAAATTTATTGAATTAATATTTAAACATAACATACACGCAATTCCTCCTCATTTAGTTCAAATTCTTTAGATAATTCAGCAATATCATATTTAGTATATGGGAGACCATAAACAAATTTTTCTAATTTAATTTCCTAAAATTGTCTTTTTTAAAATTAAAATAAAGTTAATTATAGGGTTGCCGTTTTCGAATAAGACCGATGAGCGAGGCATGTTTTCGGAGTGTATTTATCGGACCTTTTCATGTCTTGTTTTATCGTGAAGCTTATCGAGTATATCCTAGGCCTAACTCGATCTTTCGGTCCTAGTCTATCCATTTTGGCAACCCTACATAATAATAATTAAACAAACATATTTTGTCAAGTCAATTAGATCTCCGCCTATAAAATAATTAAATTTCATTAATAGGGCTCGGATTTATATTGAAATAAAATAAGAAAATATACCATAAATTATTGAAAAAGCAAAATATTAACAAAAAATTAGTGAAATATTGAAATAAATTATGATTTATTCATTAGCAAAAAATCAGAAGAAAAAGTTAAAATTTAACAAAAAAAAATTTAAATTCTTCAAATTTAGTCGGCGAATTTAGTATAGTCAGCGAATTTAGTATATGTATTTATATATTTTTAAAGTATTTTTACTCTGTTGGGCATTTTGAGAGGGGTCTAATTATGGTTGCACATTTTGGGTTTTGTCCATTTTGGCATTTGTGGATCTCTGTTAGTGGGACATATTGGGGCTTTATGTCCAGTTTGACATTTGGGTCCAGTTATGTCCAGTAGATTCCACTTATAGTGTATGGAATTTTAGGCACTGGAATTTTGGTCACCAAAATTTTTCGGAACTTTGGTACCAACTTTTTGAAATTTTAGTCACCAGCGTAATTTTAGTCACCAAGTCAAAAAACGGAATATTAGGCATTAAAATTTTGGTCCCAATGGGAATTTTGTTTACCAAACGAGAAGAAAGAATTTTATCTAGGTCTGATAGCAAAGAGATAAAAAGTGTTTTTCAACTCCCATTTGATTTTATATTCTTATAATTGTTTGAAATTTAGGCCGGTTGTTTAAATTATACCGCTTAGGGCACTCTCCCATCTAGAGTTTTGAGTTCAAATGTATTTATTAACAAAAATTTTTGGCTAAAATTACCTTCGAATATAATCTTTTCCTTTAAATTATCAATTTGATTTGTAATTTCAATTTTTTCTTCTTCATTATCCTTTATTTCAGGGCTCCGATCGACAAAATGCCACTCAAAAGTATCAAAATCTTGTAAAAAAAGTACATAGGGAGAAAATTTGCAAATAAAAAGTACACTCAAAATTAAATTTGAAAATATTTATTCGTGATCAAATCTTTTATATTTCTCTCCTAAATTAATCTTTTCTAATAATTTCTTGTTTCAACTGAGCACATGAAGCAAAGCTCTGACAGTCTTAACCTCAAGCGAGTTTCTTTCTTTCGTCCATTGAATGTTTGCCATTGAGAAGCGCCGCAGGCGAAAATTTTTTGAAATTTGGAGCCTAAGAAGCCAGATTTCTTTTTCAGCGCCGCAGGCGAAAATTTTGAGAATTTTGGAGGTCCTTAAGCCAGATTTCTTCCATTTTTTGCGCCGCAGGCGAAAATTTTGAGAATTTTGGAGGTCCTTAAGCCAGATTTCTTCGTTTTTTCAAAAATGTTGATAAAAAAGTACATACTTTCAAAAAAGTACAAATTCAATTTCGGAAGTACGAAGGTCGATAAAAAAGTACAATACTTTTAAAAAAGTACGAATCGGAGCCCTGCTTTATTTTAATATAATTTTCCAATAATTCAATTTTATACGCATTTAAATTAATTAATGTCCAATAATTATTTTTCAATTCTTTTTTGTAATTTTTTATTTTATCTTTTGGTGATATTTTTAAGTTCATTTCTATATCATTTTTATGCTTGTTTTTTTCTAAAATATTGATTTGATGGAATAGAATTCTTTTAATTATCTTGAATTTAATTTTTTAGTAAACCTTACATTTGAAATTTGATTCAATTTGAAACTTGATCATGTTTTCTGCCTCAAAAAGCACAATGGTCAGAAGGATATAAACACTATTTTCCCACGCATTCAGTAAATAAAGGCTCAGATTTGACGTATATGACTTTTGACTATGACTTTTGACTATGGGTCCTGCCTGTTCGATTTGTCGATTACTCGATTTTATACGAATTTAACTGTAAGACCGCGCCACTGTTTTGTATCCGCGGTGAATCCGGGAGAAGTGATGCTCGGAGAAGAAAAACCCCGCGAAACGGGAGTCGGGTCGGGAAATGACCTCGGGAGTCGGGAATTTAGAATAACAATGCAGAAATTTTGAAAATTTTGAGGTCAAGAAGCCATGTTGCCCTGCTAGACGCGATCTTTTGAAGTTTTCAATGCTGCTCGATCGAGAAAATGTTCTCTCCTATAAAGTTGTCGGATAGTCGGAAATCCTCGGATTCAGAATCCGAACCGAAAATTTTGGATACCTGTGTCCGAAACCCAAATTTATATTTTCAAAATTATTGCCTGGGTATTGAAAAGTTGTCACCATACTACTAGTAAATCACGTAAATCTTCTAAACTACAACTTCACCGAAATTCCAATTAAGCCTTTGCAACCCTCGATTTCACAGATCGGACTAGTGTCCGATACTAACAGAAAGACTAACTAACAAGGTTTATCACGAAGGTAACAATACAATAGAATAAGCGAGACTATGCGTTGGCTGCGATAACACTAACACTAGACTGACAATAGACTGCTCCCAACTACTAAAGGCCTTCGCCTTTTACACTAAGCACGCCACCCTAGCACTGTACCTCAATTTTTCGTTTTGCCGAATTATGCTGGATTTATCTCGATAGATCCCGTCTAAAAACCGCTTTCAAAACATGCATTTCCATTTTTGCTAGTCCTATTTCATTTATGACAGTTTTTGAGAAATATACCTGTTTTGGTAAATAATTAAATAATTCATCGACAATTTTATTTTTAGTAATTTCTATTTCTGGTAAATATCTATATTTTCTAGTTATGAAATAATAATTTATATTATTTTCCGTTTTTAAATATTTTCCAACTAAATTTTTAAAATAAAAACGTTCTTCTGGTTTTTTATTTTTTAAATAATTATATTCTCTCTTTTCTAACCAATCTGAATTAATTTTTACGTTGATTGTTCTACCGTTTGTAAACTTGTTGTAATTTTCCAAATAAATTATAAATGAAATAAAGAATATATAAATAATATTCATTTTATTTAAATTAACAAATTTTTATTTAAAATAAAATAAATATTATAATAAATATTATAAAATAAAATTGTGTTTAAAAAATTAAATAATAATTAGAAATGCCCGACAGAGAGAAATATATACATAAATATATGTTATTTCGAAATTCTTGCCAACGTTTTTAATTGGGTGTCGGATAAATTAAAAAGGCATGCTCACATGTATGCACTTTATAAAAACAAGGCGCTTTCCTTTGATTATTTTTTATTATTTTTTGTTTTTATTTTTATTATTTTGTATCTTTTTGTAGTTTGCCCTTATATCTCCTCTATAATAAATTTCGAAAATATTTTGAAAGTTTTATAAAAGTTTCAAATATTGTGCCTTTGGCTAAATCAACGCATTATTAATATTTATAAGTAATACATAGTTAAAAATAATTTAAAGTATCATGGTGTCCTGAAAATTTCCTATTACCAGCCATTCCGTGATCCCCAATTTCTGGCCTTTCCTGCGTTTACTTTTAGTTTCCTACATTTTTAATATAATTTTGCCCAGCCATGAAGTGGATATGAGGGATGGGATCTGTTACTCTTCCGTCTTCCGCAGGTTTCGAATTTTATTTTGCTCTTCCGTTTCCGTCTTCCGCTCTTTATAATTCGATGGGACCATCCCTTGTACAAATATTTATTGTTATATTTTGAAGGTCTTTTTCACTTTCTATCAAAAATCATTTTTGTTAAAAATTAATTTTATTTATTAATTAATTAAAAATTTTCCAATTTCTCTGGTATTTTTAACCCAAAACCAATATAATTTTACTCAAGGTTATTTTTAAATATATCTTTAAGGAATTTTGCATCATTTATTAATTCAAAACTTGATTTATATCCTCTCTCCTTCCCGCTTTTTTTTAAATTTCTTTTATTGTTTTCTCTCCTTTATAAAATATTTTGCAACATTTTCCTTTCATTTTAATTTTCGCTGCCTTTAGGCATTTTGAAAAAAAAATTTATTTTCTAAATTTGGAGGCCGTTTACAAAAATATGAAAAATAAATTGCTATAAAACGAGTAAAACTGTTTAATATTTAATTTATTTTTCAAAAAAAAATTTTTGTTAAAAATCCTCCCTAAAAATGATAAAAATCCCCCCTCTTCCCAGACCCTTTATTTCCCTTATTTTAATACTATTTTTGTCGGATTCAACTTTAGCCTGTATTGGAAGTGCTGGATTTCCGGGAAGTTCTCTATTTCCTCAGCAATATCCGGCTGATGATGCTGCCGGTTCTTATGTTGCCCCACCGAGTGAATATAAAAGTAATTTTTTCACAATTTTGTTGAGAAATAAAGATTTTTAATTAAATTTAGCTGCACCTCCCCCAACACCTCCTCCTCCACCACCACCAAAATCTTATTATCCAGGTAATTAATTTTTATTTGGACTTCCCTCAATAATTTCCTCAATTATTCTTTAAATTGCAGCCTAACCACACTTTTAGATTCCGTTTATACGAGTACTTTAGTTATGGATAATCGCCTCTCTCTTCACCCAGTAGCCTAAACCTTGAGAGGTATATCAAAGCTTTGAGAGGTATTTGAAAATAGGGTTTGCAACTTTGAGGGGTGTTTAAAAATGAGAGTTGGCTGTATATTTCTTAATAATCTAAAAATTCTAATTTTATTTTCAGTTGCCCCACCACCTCCTTCACATTATAATTATGCTCCACCAACATTTACTTTGCAGACATTACCCCCATTTACTTTACCTAAATTAGAAACGCTTCCTCCACCTCCTCCTTTGCCTCAACTTTTTTCATATTATCCTGTTGCACCACCGCCACCACCTCCAAGCTATGTGGTAATGAGAATTAAATGTCTTAATTAGAACCTAGGAAGGCTTCTAACAAAAATTCACTATAAATTTTTAAGGAATGTCAGAAACCACTATATGTGATACATTCAATAGTAGATAAAACTATAAGCTTTTATTAAATTTATTCGGACATTATGTGGATGGGAGGGGCTGACAAAGCAAGCCCTTAATTTAAACACTTAACAGATTACCTCAATAGACCCTCAATGCAACCCCTCATTATAACTTCCACTTTTTCTTCTTAAAGTTTTATCATATAGTGAGGCTCTACTGTAATTTTCAATTTCATTTAACAATATTTAAGTTACCACAATTCCAACTTCAAACCCTTCCACCACTACCACCACTTCAACCCTTCACACTACCACCAATGCCGACATTTGCACCTCCTCCTGAGTCTTATTATCCTGTTAAGCCTCCAAAATATTGTAAAAATTTGTAAATTTTTTTTAAATTTCAAAAAATATTTAAGCAACAGGTCCAGACCAATTCTCTTCATTATCTTCTCGACGTGAAATCCCCCCGGTACAGACCTTTACATTTGGAGGCTCCGATTCTTCTCATCTTCCACCACCACCCCCTCCCCCTTCCACTAATTTTGAAAGGCCAATGCCTCAGCAAATTGGACAACCAAATAATGTGCCCCAACCATCCCAACAAAATTTTAATCAACAAAATTTACATCAATCTAATATACAATCTCAGGGTTTACCTCAACAAGCAAATATTAGAAACAATATGCCACAACACCCTATGCCTCCAGGTTGAGACTATCTAGTGAAATTATCTAAAATATATCATAAATTTTAATATGATTATGATCAAGGTCGCTTATTAAGTTAATCTAAAAGTAGCTTAAAGGTTTAGTGAAATACATACGAGGGCTTAACATCTTTCTTGATTGAGAAAAGATTCTTTGTTAAGCAGAAATAATCTATTGTTAATGAAATTAAAAACGATTAAATGAATTTACAAATTATCCTATCTTACACTTTTTGATTTGTACGTAAGGGTTTTGATTAAGCTTCTCTAAATTAAGTGTTATGAACGGGCAACCAAGTTAAACGCCCAAGATTTCTAAGCTCCTCAATTGCTCTACAAATTAAAATATAGCGTTAACTGTAATTTCTCTTTTTGTTGCTCTTAACCATAATCATTTTTAAATGTTAACTAGTACGCTCTGCCTTTCCTTACAATAAGCTAGAGGTCGATAGAAATCTGAAAGTATCTACTTAATATAAAGTATTATTTTAAAATTCAATTCAGCATACAATCCAGCCTTCAAAGTAAATCAAGCCGAATCAGAGGAAGAAAATCAGCAACAACCAGCAGAACCTCGCAACCCTAACTCTGCTAGAGAACAACCCCCATTTGAAACATCAAATGGATTTAATGAACAAAATAGGCAAAATGAAAAGCAACAGAAAGAAAAAATGAAACAAGAAAGAGGAAGGAATGTAAACAATAATGTTGCTTCTTCAAGTGGTTATTCTGATGATAATTTGATTAATACAGCCCTTGATAATAGGTGAATATAGTTTTGGATTTGTTTAAACATGAGGTAGAAAGAGTGGAAGGAACCCTGTAGTCAAAAATACTTTGTACAGTAAGGTTGGCGGTTAGCTGGAAATCTTCGGATATCCGGATCCGGTATCCGAACCGAAAATTTCCGGAGATCCGGCCGTTTTTCGGATCCGGATATCCGCATCCGCCAACCTTATTTTACAGAGTTACCGTTGAATAACAGTCATTCAAATTGATTTGGACACCGACCGCTTTCTCGGACGAGCATTTCACCATTATCCCCGACCCGACCCAATCCCTAAGAGTAAAACAAATTGTAACTAAAGATTGGGTAAAGACGAAATTTCTTTAATAATCAATATAATCGAGACAAAAATTTGATAAGCTATCGATCTCTGATCATGATCGATCATGAAGTCTCCAGCTGATAAGGGTTGATCAAATGACGAAATGAAATGTTTGATCAAATACTTGATTTTTCGATGCTTTGTCTGGGATCTATGATAGGAATTAGAGACTAGGAGAAACGGTTCCAAATTATACGGTGGTTGATCAAAGACTTGAGTATGCCCTTCATGCCCAAAAGTTAATATATTTTGGATTAGCTAGCTTTGAACGAGTTTATAAAATAGAAAAACTTTTAAAAATCAATTTAGACAACAACAAGCAGAAAAACCCAAAGTTTTCGGATTGTCGCAACAAGAAATTCCACATTTAAATTTTCAATCAGAAACGGAAGGTGGAAGTGATATGAATCCGATCGAAATGAGAAATCATTTACGGAGTCAATTAAAAAGTCGAAAAGGAAGAAATGATGACACAAAATAAATAAATTAATTAAATAATTTGCCCAAAATTTATTTTTTTACTCAGGGCAAAAATAATTTCTGACCTCTAAATTTAATTTAAATAAATACTTTTTTTGAAAAATCTTTTTATTGTATAAGTGGCAACAATTACATGCTACACGGGATAATTAAAAAGGGTAATTAGGGAGATAAAGGTAATTAGGGAGATCCCTAGGGAGATAAAAAAGTAGCATACCTCTGAACATAAATTATTCATTCAAAACTTTGTTTCAAAAATATTTTAAAGTACGTCATTTGGGATAGATTAAAAAATAAACAGAATTATATCAAGTAAACCACAGAAAATCGCAAAAAAAATTAGGAAATAATCTACATGATGAAAAAAATATTTTATTAATCATACTTAAAGGAGGGGGACCAAAGGTTAGATAATCGGCAATAACGAGTATATTACTGTATTTTATTTTTACTTTTTGCGCCCTTCGCGAGAGTTTTGTCTTCTTGATCTTTCGCCTTTCGTATTTCGCTTTTTCGGTTCCCTGATACACATCATACATTTTGGGCAGGTCTAACAATAGTTACAACTTGATTTTGATTTGTTTTTAATAAACCAAAAAATTTTTCAAGTAGAATTTTTGTGTCAGTTCGAACAGTTTTGTTTAATGTTAAGTAAATTACTGGTGGGAAACCTATAAAAAAGTTAAAAAATATTTAAATTTGCTTTTCATTCCACTGACAGGAGCATGTATAAAAGGGATAGAAAAGGGCAAGAAGTGTCATACAGGGGAGAACCCCGAAGATGAGGTAAAAGGGATCACTCTATTTTTTAATAACAAAATTCTATTTAAATATTAACATACCATGAATATGTAACCTTAAAAATTGAACAAAAATTATATAAAATTAAATGTTAATTAGAATTTACCAAGAAAAATGTCCAATCATCATTAACGGCAAAATTCCATTATCGGGATTATTCGTAATGTAAGTATAAGTAATACCTTCTAATGTATTTATCATTGAAATGATAAATACTTGAAGAAAGACCTTAAAATATTACAAATTTAATATACCGTATTTTCTCTAAAATAGCCCCCCCCCCTCTCTAAAATAACCCCCCTCTAGAAGTCGATCAAAAAAAAATAACCCCCCCCCCCTCTAAAATAGCCCCCCTCTAGAAGTCGATCAAAAAAAAATAACCCCCCCCCCCTCTAAAATAACCCCCCCCCCTCCCATAAAATATTTAATTATTTTTTGGCATTGATATTTTTTAAAGCACAGCAATGTTTAATCCTTATATTTAAATAAAATTAGAAATGATTATGGGGGATATCGAGGATTTGAAGGTATATAAGGGGATTATGATGGATTAAGGGATAGCGGTGGATTAATATGATTCGAGGATTTAGAGAAATATTAGGTATTATGAGGGAATTTGTAATTAAGAGATATGAATCAAAAAAGATATTTTTCCACTTTTATTCAATTATTATCCGATATCCTCTCAAATCTCTGATATCTCGAATCATATTAATCCATCGCTCCACATTAATGCCCTCAAATTGGATTTTGAGAGGTCCACTATAATCTCTGTTACTTCCTAAATCTCTTAATATTCAACCTAATCCTCTAACATTTCCCCATCTTAATCCAATCCCTTTTAATATTATTAACGTTGGGACTTAACTGAGATGTATACAAGTGGGATAATAATCTAAGATAAATTCTTAATTGGGTATTTTGAAAACTAAACGGAGTCTTAGATGAATTTAAGGACTGAGG